GGCCTATTGCAGCGCGGGGCCCAGGGCAGCCGCCCCGCTCGCCCTGCCCTATATCCACCACTGGTAGGGAGGCCCCATCTCAGCTAACAGTTCGAACCTGGGCTCTCCTCTCCTGGGTCAGGTGGCTTGGTGAATAAGCAGGGCAGTGGGGCAGACTAGCTCATAGCCGTTAGCCCAGTGCCTAGGATCCTACTCAGGATGTGGGAGTCTCCACGCTCCACAGAAGCAAATTGTTAAGGTGGAATCTGTACTGAAGCGGGGTTTGCCAGGGGGGTTCCACAGGGGATTGGTTCTAGGCCTGACGCTACTGAATATTTTTAGCAATGGTCTGGAAGCAAATAGAAAGCCGCTGGTGATGAAATCTGCCGAGGACGAGCACTGGCAGAGCGGTACGTGCTGATGGGGACAGGGGAGATGTGCAGAGAGATCTGACTTGCTTGGCAAGCGGGGCCCAGCCCAGCAAAACGAGCTTTTGTACGGCCAAAGGCAAAGCCCTGCTAGGAGGAACCAGGATACAGGAAGGGGCTGGACCCCTGGAAAGCTGTGACCCTGAAAAGGATTTGGGTGTTGGAACAGCCCTGCTCAAGCTGCCCCTGAGGGACACTCGCCGGGGTCTCCACTTGGAGCCTGCGCACTGGGTTTGTAAGCGGCCTGAGTCTGAGCAGGGTCCAGCGCTAACTCTACTTGTGGGTCCCTGTCCACTGCCCCTTCTGAGAGCTGAGCCTGCAATCCAGCTCAACGGGCCCTGAGACCAGCACTGTCTGTCCCCCCCCCCCACCTTGTGGCTGGAGCACACTCCTTCCCAGAGCTCCCACCCCCTGGGTTGCCTGGTGTCCAGACACTCGGCAGGGAGACACGAGAAGTGAAGCAAACAGAAACAGGCCCAGCCCTAGTGCAGACACAGCCTATGCCAGCAGGAGCGTTTCTATCCCTGTAGGAATATCACCTCTTTCATCAATGTCAGCGACAGAAGTGCTCTCCTGTCAACACAGCTGTGTCAGCATGTGTGGGGGGGGAGATTTGCCAGCACAGCTATGTTAGTGGGGAGGAGGGGGGAATGATCTTGTTCACCCCCCCCTCCACTCCCCGATTGATAGCTCTGCTGACAGAACTTTTTAAGCAGAGGCCAAAGGGAATTTCAAAGTCACCTTAGTACAGGGAGACCCTTAAAGAGATGGGTCTGCTTAGTCAACCAAGGGATATTAGCAGGTGTTTACAGCGTATAAGAACCTTCCTAGGGAACAAACACGAGGGGCTAATGAGCTCTCTAATCTAATCGAACAGAGAAAGGCAGAAGAAGAGCCAATGGGTGGAAGCTACAGTGAGACCAATTCACATGAGAATCAAGGCACAAAGGGTTGGCAGGGATGGTGACTGGCTCTGAAGGTGCCTTACCCTGCTGGCCCCACTTTTCTGCTGTTGCCAGAGGCAGCGACCGATTCAGAGATTGGTGCCACTTTTTGGGGTGGGGGAGGGGAGTTTCATTCCAGCCTGAAATATTTTCAAAGGGCGACCCAATTTACAAAAAGGCCTGAGAGCCCCTGGTCAAAGGGGCTCATTACACTTTAAAATCTAGGACATAAGGATCCACGTTTCAAACATCTATTCCACCAGACTGTGAGAGCAAAGTCCCTGGTTTGGAATACAAGCTGGAGAGTGTGTTTGTTTTACAGGCTCTCCTGGGTCAGGGGTGAGGGGAGTCACTGCAGGCCGTTTTCCAGCCGACCACCACCCTGCTATGCTGTCTTTAACCTTCTTGCCTCTTTCTTTCATTCGTCCCACAAATCCCATCCCTTCTGGGTTCTGGTTACTGCCCTCTTCTGTCTCTTCTGGCAGCAATTTCACATTATTGGCGATCTTGGTTATCATCACAGCCTGCTCTCTCACCTCCCTCAGAGATTTGATGCGTTCCTGATACCCAGGTTTCACTTCCAGCTCTTCTGACGAGATCATCAGGTCAATGTAGTCGGGCGTGGTCAGCGGGTTGGGTTTTAAGGCGATTTCTTGCAGGCGTTGGAGGCTTGTAGATGATTCCTCAATAAGCACTATCACTATCGCTTTCACGTTATAGTACTCCTCACGCAGCCTCTGAATAACCGTCTCTGTGGTCATCACCTCGCCAGAGGCCTTTTTGTACTTTTCTTGCAGTTCTGCATAGGTTCTCTTCTCTCTCTGGACTTCATATCGCCACTTGTACTTTTGATTGAAGTGAGTGCTCCATATGCATTTACCAGGGCAAATATCGCAATGTCCAGACTGGTTCATAGCCCAACATTTTTTCTTATCTTTATCATTAGCATATATACAGTTATCGTGACATGTGAAGTGACACATCTGGCAGTTTGTTAGAAACACGCCTTTGCCACTGATGTCTTCTTTCACAGCCACTGTTTGTTCCACCTCATACTCAAAGTCTTTATTGGCCTCCATATCAACCTTGTGCTGCTGCAGGGCTCCCTGGGTCTGTCTTAGCTCTTCCAGCTTTGTGAGGCCGGCTTTGATCTGTGGCTGCAGTCCTTGCACAGCCACCTCAAGCTTCACTCGCTCCATGAGAACTTCCTGGGTCAAAGTCAAGCTCTTAGTTTTCAAATCTCTTAAGGAATTAAAAAATGTCTGCATGCTCCCGGCACCCATATCCCAGAACATCGCATCAAAATTAGACCTGCCCTTGCCCCCTCCAGCCTTGCCGGCAAACAGCGCAGAGTTGTTAAATTTGAAGTGAACAGGGTGGCCCTCAGCATCCTTAGCACAAGGTACCTTGGACTCTTTAATGGCCTCTAGCACAGGAGGGGTCTGTCCATCGGCGAAGGTGACCAGGATTAAGATGTTGTCTTTTATGTCCTTCCCAAAAATGGAGAGCACCGAATCAAACACGTACCTCTGGGTGTGGGTCAGACGAGCTAGTGAGGCCTGGACAACGAAACAGACGGCGTCAATGTGATCAATGGCGCCTGGGGTGGAAAAAAATGCTCTAATCTTCTCTGTTAACTTTTTGTCATGCTCAATCCCTCTGGTGTCACCAAATCCAGGTGTGTCTATTATAGTCAGCGAATAGGTGATTTTGAAGCCCTCTGTGTGATTAATTTCATAGGCTGTCACCTCAGATGTCTGGCTCTCAGCTTGGCTTCTGTTTGTTATTTCATGGATGAGCTTGAACCTGAATTCATCCTTCCATTGCACACCCAGGACGTAGTTGATCATCCCATTGATGAGAGTCGTTTTCCCCGAGCCGGTTGCTCCCATCACCATAATCACTTTGTTAGGGACTTTGTCACAGTGAGTTTCTTCTCCAAGTCTGTACTTCCGACAAGCTAACATAGGCTCTAATGCTGCCTCCTCTAATGGAAGTGTATACACTGGCAGCTGCAATTCTTTTATGAGCCTGCTCTTTTTGCAGAGACGCTGTGCTAATTTCTTTGATTCATCCTCTGTCTCTCTTGAAACAATAACCTGCTCGCTCGGGTCACTCTCAGCCCCGTCCACACACACAGCCGAGACTCGGAATCTGTAGGGTGTCCGTGGCCTCAGCCCATCAATGGTGCAGGACTCGGTTCTCTGTCCCGTCCTTCGCTCCAGCCACTTGGCTTCTCCAGCCTCCTCTCTGTATTGCACCTTGTACTCGCTTATACTGACTCCATCTCCAATGACACGTGGACTCTCCCAGCTCAGGGCGATGGCCGATGATTCTACAGTCGCTGCTGCAGGTTTCCCAGGGGGGCTGGTTGGAAGCGTCTTCACTGTGTCGCTCACGTCGCTGCTCTCGCTGAGCCCTGGTTTGCTCACGGCCGCGTATCGGAACTGGTACTGGGTGTTTGGACGGAGCCCTGTGACTGTGAGTGTCTCTTGTGTGTTACTGACATTCACAGCCACCCAGTTCTCCTGCCCGACAAGTCTGTACTCTGCCTGGTAGCCGCATATCTCAGCCCTGCCATAGGCTGCTGGTTTCAGCGTGAGCTGCACACGGTCATGTCGGACTGCACCAATCAGGGGAGGAAGAGGTTTCTCTGGCAGTTCATAGTTAGCGCTGACCAAGTCTCCATTTTCATAGAGGTAAACTGAAGCTCCTGGGTTGTGTTCATCTGGGACAGAGGCCACAATGAATCGAGTCTTTCCATTAGATTTATTCACACGAGCAAAGTCTGAAACGGATTTTGCAGCTTTTCGGGCATTTTGGATCCTGTTTCTGTCCTCAAACCACAGTTTGGGTTTCTCACTGGCAGAACTGGCTGATTGGGGATCTTGGGCGTTCTTCATAAACTGGGTCTGAAGACAGAGCCTCAAATCAGAGAAATACGGTTCCTCTTCATGTAGCGAAGTGAACACAAAGGCTACGACAAAGTCATTCACGGGATCCAGAACTATTTCATCCAGCTTATTCTGGGAGGACACCACTTCCACATCCTTTAGGAGAAAAAGATAGGAACTGACATACTTCATTTCTCGTTCCCTTTTATCCAGAAATATGTTGAGTTCCTGGGTATTGAATGGTGACTGTTTTTTGTTTGACAGCATGTCCACCAGGGCCCCTTCCTCTTTCCCCCCTCCACGGATGGAGGGTAAGAGACCTGCCAGCTCTTTCTGGAAAGTCTGTCTGTGTTGCATGCACAGATCTTTGAATAGCTGGATTTTCTTCTGCATTTCAGGGAAGGTTCTGGCAATCGGGTTCTTCACCAAGTCGTTGCATTGCATGTCAAGTTCTGTCAGTTGCTCCAGGGCCGTTTGAACATCAAAGATCAGCATTGTACTGATCTCACGAACCATCTGAGCAGCTTTGGAATCCAGCTTGGTCAGCGGGTACAGCCAGACTCTCACCGGTACGGCCTTCTCCCCGTTCTCACCCAGCCGCGCTGGGAGGGTGGAATAAATGGTCATGGCATCTTGGAAATTAGTTGGATTCTTCTCAAGAGCAAAATCTCCATAAAATTTACAACTAAGTTGTTCAGCTAGTTTTTTGTGTGCATCATCCATTTTGAGAGCTCCTTCACCTTTGGTGGAAACCAGGGGTATCTTTTTAATTATAACATGGAGTTTTCCCTTTACATCTTGTACATTCTCAGATGAAGAGACATCCTGATCGAAGACAAAAATGGCCTGCGCCCCGTACAGCACAGCCGTGACCACGTGGGTGGCCGTGCCTTGGTCAAACACATCAGGGTAAGAAATATTGTGGTGTCCTAAATGACTCATAGTCAGCTGCTTAAACTGTGTCGTAGCTGAGTACTGGAGAGAAACGCGGGCTTGCTGCTTTGACGTCTTGGTATCATTTAAATACTCTGCGGAGCCGCTCACTTCCACCAGGCCAGACAGGAAACTGGCCTTCAGCGAGGCTTTGACATTCAGGGCAGAGGCCTTGTCCTCAGTGGTGTCAGACGCAATAATCTGAAATTCAGTCTTGGACTGCGGCTTTGTGTCTACATGCTGTTGAAGTGTCTCCAGATCCCATAAAGTGATGCCTAGAACAGGAGAAACAAACACATGGTCAGTGGCAGAGAGGGTAAGAGACCTTCCTGTTCTGTAACTGCCAGGCGTTTTCTAACATCGCAGTAAGAGCCAAGTGTCCCTGAACAAAGAGTCGGATCTGGGAACAGGCTTCAGTCCTAGTGTCAGTGTGAAGAAAAGCGATGAAAAGAACATTATTGCATTAGGCTGATGCATGTAGAGCAGTTTCAACAGCTGATAATGAGATTGTTACATGCACCTGCACTTGTAAGAACGGCCAGGCTGGGTCAGACCAAAGGTCCATCTAGCTCAGTGTCCTGGCTCCTGACAGTGGCCAACACAACCCGAAGGGAGTGAACAGAACAGGGAATCAGCCAGGGTTCCATTCTGTTGTCCATTCCCAGCTTTTGAACAAACAGAGACTAGGAGCACTGCCCTTCCCATCCTGGCTAATAGCCCTTGAGGGACCTGTCCTCCATGAATTTATCTAACTCTTCTTTAAACCCAATTAAAGTTTTGGTCTTTACAACATCCTCTGGCAAGGAGTTCCACAAGTTGCCTGTGGATTTCAAATGTTTCTGGTAAACGAAATTGTGCTTGTTCTGTATTGCACCTTGTACTCGCTTATACTGACTCCATCTCCAATGGCACGTGGACTCTCCCAGGTCAGGGTGATGGCTGATAATTCTATATTAGCTGCTGCAGGTTTCCCAGGCGGACTGGTAGGAGGAAGCGTCTTCACTGTGTCGCTCACGTCGCTGCTCTCGCTGAGCCCTGGTTTGCTCACGGCCGCGTATCGGAACTGGTACTGGGTGTTTGGACGGAGCCCTGTGACTGTGAGTGTCTCTTGTGTGTTACTGACATTCACAGCCACCCAGTTCTCCTGCCCGACAAGTCTGTACTCTGCCTGGTAGCCGCATATCTCAGCCCTGCCATAGGCTGCTGGTTTCAGCGTGAGCTGCACACGGTCATGTCGGACTGCACCAATCAGGGGAGGAAGAGGTTTCTCTGGCAGTTCATAGTTAGCGCTGACCAAGTCTCCATTTTCATAGAGGTAAACTGAAGCTCCTGGGTTGTGTTCATCTGGGACAGAGGCCACAATGAATCGAGTCTTTCCATTAGATTTATTCACACGAGCAAAGTCTGAAACGGATTTTGCAGCTTTTCGGGCATTTTGGATCCTGTTTCTGTCCTCAAACCACAGTTTGGGTTTCTCACTGGCAGAACTGGCTGATTCGGGATCTTGGGCGTTCTTCATAAACTGGGTCTGAAGACAGAGCCTCAAATCAGAGAAATACGGTTCCTCTTCATGTAGCGAAGTGAACACAAAGGCTACGACAAAGTCATTCACGGGATCCAGAACTATTTCATCCAGCTTATTCTGGGAGGACACCACTTCCACATCCTTTAGGAGAAAAAGATAGGAACTGACATACTTCATTTCTCGTTCCCTTTTATCCAGAAATATGTTGAGTTCCTGGGTATTGAATGGTGACTGTTTTTTGTTTGACAGCATGTCCACCAGGGCCCCTTCCTCTTTCCCCCCTCCACGGATGGAGGGTAAGAGACCTGCCAGCTCTTTCTGGAAAGTCTGTCTGTGTTGCATGCACAGATCTTTGAATAGCTGGATTTTCTTCTGCATTTCAGGGAAGGTTCTGGCAATCGGGTTCTTCACCAAGTCGTTGCATTGCATGTCAAGTTCTGTCAGTTGCTCCAGGGCCGTTTGAACATCAAAGATCAGCATTGTACTGATCTCACGAACCATCTGAGCAGCTTTGGAATCCAGCTTGGTCAGCGGGTACAGCCAGACTCTCACCGGTACGGCCTTCTCCCCGTTCTCACCCAGCCGCGCTGGGAGGGTGGAATAAATGGTCATGGCATCTTGGAAATTAGTTGGATTCTTCTCAAGAGCAAAATCTCCATAAAATTTACAACTAAGTTGTTCAGCTAGTTTTTTGTGTGCATCATCCATTTTGAGAGCTCCTTCACCTTTGGTGGAAACCAGGGGTATCTTTTTAATTATAACATGGAGTTTTCCCTTTACATCTTGTACATTCTCAGATGAAGAGACATCCTGATCGAAGACAAAAATGGCCTGCGCCCCGTACAGCACAGCCGTGACCACGTGGGTGGCCGTGCCTTGGTCAAACACATCAGGGTAAGAAATATTGTGGTGTCCTAAATGACTCATAGTCAGCTGCTTAAACTGTGTCGTAGCTGAGTACTGGAGAGAAACGCGGGCTTGCTGCTTTGACGTCTTGGTATCATTTAAATACTCTGCGGAGCCGCTCACTTCCACCAGGCCAGACAGGAAACTGGCCTTCAGCGAGGCTTTGACATTCAGGGCAGAGGCCTTGTCCTCAGTGGTGTCAGACGCAATAATCTGAAATTCAGTCTTGGACTGCGGCTTTGTGTCTACATGCTGTTGAAGTGTCTCCAGATCCCATAAAGTGATGCCTAGAACAGGAGAAACAAACACATGGTCAGTGGCAGAGAGGGTAAGAGACCTTCCTGTTCTGTAACTGCCAGGCGTTTTCTAACATCGCAGTAAGAGCCAAGTGTCCCTGAACAAAGAGTCGGATCTGGGAACAGGCTTCAGTCCTAGTGTCAGTGTGAAGAAAAGCGATGAAAAGAACATTATTGCATTAGGCTGATGCATGTAGAGCAGTTTCAACAGCTGATAATGAGATTGTTACATGCACCTGCACTTGTAAGAACGGCCAGGCTGGGTCAGACCAAAGGTCCATCTAGCTCAGTGTCCTGGCTCCTGACAGTGGCCAACACAACCCGAAGGGAGTGAACAGAACAGGGAATCAGCCAGGGTTCCATTCTGTTGTCCATTCCCAGCTTTTGAACAAACAGAGACTAGGAGCACTGCCCTTCCCATCCTGGCTAATAGCCCTTGAGGGACCTGTCCTCCATGAATTTATCTAACTCTTCTTTAAACCCAATTAAAGTTTTGGTCTTTACAACATCCTCTGGCAAGGAGTTCCACAAGTTGCCTGTGGATTTCAAATGTTTCTGGTAAACGAAATTGTGCTTGTGATTGAACAGTTTGGTCATGTTCATAGGGAGAAATGCCAGTACTCTCAGTATTTTTTATCTTCCTATGGCTGTCACATGCAGTAAGAGATCCGCAGACAGCTAGTTCTTTTGCAGTTTTATAGCATTTTTTATGCACAAAATACAGCTCCCACTGCCTTCTGCAAATCTAACCAGCCATTGCAGGAAACCGAGGTGCCTCATCCCAGCTCTTTGCTTTATCAGGGAAATGTAGAACCAGATTTTTAAAGGTATTTAGATGGGTCACTGGTTGTGGGAAGGGGGGCAGCACGCCGAGCCAGCCCATCCATAGGGTGACTCTGAGGTGGCACCACAAGCCCTGCGCTTTGGGGGGCCCCACCATGGCTGCCTCAACCTTCCTATTGCTGGGGCCCCCCAAAGCTGGGGCATTATCGGGGGGTCTGGCACAGGGGTCACACACCCCCATTACCAATGGCCATGGGAGCCAGAGTCACCCTGCAGCCTGCTCCACTCTGCCACGCTTCCCTTCCCTGCCCTGCCTCACCGTGGTGGCAGGGAGCAGACTCCTTGGCCCAGGGCGTTTAGTTTCCTGCCCCCAGCGGGCTGGCAGAGGGCAGTGGGGCGGGGTGACACGGCGAGGGCAGGGGAAGGGCCAACCCCTGTGGGGACTCTGCACCAGCCCAGCAGCCCCCCGCCAGCTGGCCTTGCAGGGATGGGGCGGGAGCTGGCGGAGCGGGACTGGGTGGGGAGCTGCTGAGGCAAAATGGGACGAGGTGCGAGTCAGAAGCCGAGGGGGCGGGAGGAATCCCGTGAGGGCTGTCTGTTCTGTTCGCTCCCTTGGGGCACCTGGCACGGGCCAGTCTCAGAAGACTCAGTACTGGGCCGGGGGAGCGTTATGAGGGGGGAGGCAGAGGGCAGCCGCCTCGAGAAAAGGTCTGGAGGAAATAGCCCCTCCCCCGGGGGCAGCGGGTGGATCCATCTCATCGTCTCTGTAACAGCGCACGTCCCCCTGCCTCAGCCGGTCACCTCACTGCCAGACGCGGGGGCGTGCGCGGGGCCATTCCCATGGCACCCACCCCCAGGCCACCCCCTGCCCAGCTCAGTCCCAGAGATGACGGGTCGGACCGTGGTTCTTCCCTCGAGATGGACAGTAACTAAGTAGAAATACCGTGTTACCCTGCTCAAATACATGTTTTCAGTACTTGTACTTTCCTCAAGTAAGAATAATAATGGTGCCCTATGATAACTCAGATAATTAACAATAGATTTCCATGGGACGGCTACTTTTTACTTCTGGATACTTGAGTGCAATTAAGATGTGAGACTTTTGCACTTTTACTCAAGTAACTTTTTGGATACTTTTTCCACCACTGCCCCTCCCTCCTTTCCCTCCGGAGCTCAGGGCTGCCCTGGGGTTACCTGGGATGAGGGAGTCCTTGCGGCAGTCGTACAGCATCCCCAGCTGGAAAGGGCGGCCCAGCGCCGGCATCGCAATCGTGTCTCCTGACGCAGGCATGGCAACGTCCAGACCCTTCCCTCAGTGTCGGCCTGCAAGAAATAACTCACGTCACACCCACACCCTCCTGGGACAGGGTCCAATCCCTCCCCCTGGCTGTGGGCTCCACCCGTCTTTTCCTCCATGACTTTTCAAAGACAAGGGCCAAAGGCTCCTCAATGACGTTTGCCAACTCCCTCGGATGCATTAAGTCCGGACCCATGGGGGAGGAGTGGGATCGGTTTACAGCATACTTGAGCAAAGGGGAAAGGCGAGGGGAGGGGAGGGGGTGTGGGATTGAGTTACAGCCGGGAGTTTTGCTACAGCGAAGGGGAAAGGAGAGGGGGAGGGGATTGAGTCCTGGCCAGCTGACTAAAAAGCCCTGTGGCTGTACCGAGACCTCCTGATACTCCAGCACATCTGATAATCCAGCACCTCCTAGGTCCCAAAGGTGCCAGATTATCAGAAGTCTACTGTACACTGAATCCCCTTTGTCCACATGTTAGTTGACCCCCCTCAAAGAACTCTAGCAGATTAGTAAATCAGGATTCCCTTTACAGGAACCATGCTGACTTTACCCCCAACAAATTATGTTCTGCCTGTTCTCACATTCCCCCTTCCATTGCTAAAGGGGGTTTATCTAAATAATTCACTGGGGTGGTTGATCCCATTTGGGGAGTGCTATCCCAGGAGGCTGGGCCCTAAGATGCACTCTCCTTGGACCTGAAGAAGTTCGGTGTCTGTATTGCTTCTCAGGGGAGGAGAGGGGCAGGGATCTCAGCTTGGTGCCTTGGCTAGGGGGAGACCAGGGAGCTGGCCCAGCACAACTGAGCAGTGAGAAGCCCCAGAGGGCGGGAAGGGGGGTGGCAGCGGCCTTGGCAGCACCCCGGGAAGCCCCCCAAGGGGTGTCCTGTGACCTCTTATGTTCTTATGAGAAGCTGGATAATTTCCTGGAGGTTAGGTCCATACAAGGCTATTAGCCAGGGGATAGAAATGGTGTCCCTGGCCTCTGTTTGTCAGAGGCTGGAGAGGGATGGCAGGAGACAAATCGCTTGATCATTGTCTTTGGTCCACCCTCTCTGGGGCACCTGGTGCTGGCCACTGTTGGCAGACAGGCTACTGGGCTAGATGGACCTTTGGTCTGACCCAGTTCGGCTGTTCTTATGTTCTTATAATAAAAAAAGAACTTCAGAAGTTATCAGGACAGAGGTGGGTAGCTAAAGCCATTAGGACTGAGGAATCAAGGG